TGGCCGGTAAGAGCCTCTCTCGACATGGCTGGTAAGAGTCGGGCTCCCTCAAAACCTTTGCTAGGTGGGAGCCCCGTTTTCTGCATATTAAAGGTTGGAACCCTTGCAAGCAAAGAAAAATAATAAACAAACAAGAAAAAAAGGGGGTTCCAACCATCTTTAAAAAAAATAGAGCACCTAAAAAGTGAGTCCATGATCTTTATATTTTTTAGAGTCTCTTTATCCACGGATCGTTTGTCCTACTATCACTACTTGACATGATCCCGACTTAGGACTAGAATTCTTGCCAAAGAAGCTAGGAGGTGCCTTGTGCGTTGGTTGACCTCGTAAGCTACTAAATAATCTAGGAAGTCTGCTATCGACTTGGTTTGAGTCAGGTTTGCTTGGGGACAAGCAAACGGTTAAGTGTGGAGGGATTTGATGACTCGATATTTGCACATGTTTCCCCCTTTATTTCTTAATCGTTTAAGCTTGCATTATCGCTTCTTTGGCCTATTTTCTGCTAGGTTGTGTTCCTTGTCACATTTCAGGTCCTAGTATATAAAGTGATGCATAGGCGGAAGATTCAAGTCAATCGGAGATCAATTGGCGACTTGGGGGAAGAAACTCGGGCATGACTTGAAGAAGAATGAATTTTTACCTCATTTTATTACCAGATAATCATGTTGTTTTTTCATGAGAAGAAAGAGGGTGAGACTACGAGCGTCTGGGATCAAATGAAACCCGATTTAGAGTCTGAATGGGGGAGAAACGAAGAATCAAATACAGGGTGACCCAAAAATGAAAAATACCCAACCAGTAGGGTCAAAATACCCGACCAGGTATTTTGAGCATCTGATAGGGTATTCTGATCAGAACTCAGAAGGATCCCCGGTTGTGAACCAAAAATACCCAATCGGGTATCTAAAATTCCCGACCGGATATTTTCCCTTTTGCCCAGAAAAGCGACCCGGAGCATTTTGTTGATACCCGTTCGGTTCCCTAATTACCCGACCTGGTATTTGGACCGTGTTTCGGGAACTCGGGCTTTTAGAAGCTTTTTGTGCGATTTTGGAGGGGGGGGGGAGCTGGGTTTTGGATTCCAAACACCGAAGGAACGAACCAAAGAGAGAGAGGGCAATTTGAGGGCAATCTTGGAGTGGAATTGGAGGATTTCTTCGCCTTGGAAGCTCGAGGAACAAGCCCGGACTTGAAGACTGATCAACTGAAGATTCTTACTGCAGTCTCTCTCTTCTCTATGGAGTAACTTCCCTTCACTTAGGTTTTGAGGAACCCTAGCCATGTTTGTTTGATTGGATGACTGTATGAGTACTCTTACTTGATAATCTTGAGTTCATATTCAATCTATGCTTGTTTTCATGATTCAATTCTGCTTTAGTTGAGATTATTGATTCTGCTTTGATCCTATGAGAGCAAATACCTTATTAGGTCAATAGAGCACCATAGATTGATAGTATTGGATCGATTGCTTTAGTCGAGGGTTGATTCACTGCTTTGTATCGATTGGGAACCTCATTCGATAGAGGGAATCTAGTTCAGAAAGCCTTGATCGTTGTTCTAGAGAAGGATACGTCCCGCTAGGCAATTGACTCAAGAGGGCCTTGTTCCTTTAGTCGAGACTCAAGGTCTAGTTAAGGATTCTCCGCATTGTAAATGAGAGTGAAACATGTTAGAGATCATCAATCTGGCTAGTGGCTAGGGGGAATCACACCTAAGTGAGTTCCCAACCTGTAATTAGATTAACTTTAGCTGTAGTTTGTTAGAGTAGTTATAGTTCTTCTATTTTAATCTGGTTTGCTAGATAATGAACTGAAGCTAAGTCATAGTAACTCTAGAGACCTGTGGATTCAATATTTATTACTTGTGTGACTATACTACAGTCTAGGGCTGGGCATGCGGACGGATCATCCGCGGGTTTGGGCCGACCTACCCGCATTTGACCCGAATTTCGTTAAGTGGGTGGGTCTGTGAGTGGGTGACGGGTTGCACTGGGAGCCATCCTCCGGGTGGTGGGTGGGTTGTGGGTGAGTGTGCGGGTGACCCCTCAACCCAACAGCAAAAAGATCAAAGTCGTTGGCGCTAGAGAGAGGAGAGTGGAGACGTCAGATATAAACTTGGACTGCTCCTGGAGTTTGAACCTCAAAGCCAACCTTCCAAATAGAGATCCCCTCTTCTTCCCTTTAATTTTTCCTCTAATTCTTGTGCCTAGATCATCGCTCTTTCCTTTGTGGAATTATTTTCCTTAGTTCCTTGCACCTAATAAACGTCTCAATCTGTAGAAAACTCTTTCATAATAGAATTTCTATCCAATTTAAGAACTAATTCGACATTTTTCGCCCTATTTCAACTTCTTGTTTCCCTCGATGATTCTCTTCACCTATTATCATGTCAAGTTGACTCCTTTATATTATATACATTGTGATGTGGGTGAACCCACAAACCCACCTGCATCATCCACCATCCGCCCGACCCGACCCGAGACTAAATCTAGGTGGGTGGTGGGTTAAAAAATTATCAATCCGTTTAGGTGCGGGTGGGTGCATTTTATGGTCAAAATCCACCCGACCCACCCAATGCCCACCCCTACTACAGTCCCTTTCATTGGTTACACTTGGCCATTGTTAGGAGTGGTGTCGTAGCGAGTCACTTTTCTTAGCTTGCCTTAGCGCATGGAGAGATTGGTGAAGCTCACGTTGATGGTGATTATGTATGAATCTCTTCCTCATAACTGCCTTCATCTCTTGCCACATTGGCACATTGTTATGGGTTCTTCCTCATCATACTTCTCGTGGCACATAATTGGTCTCACCAAATAACCCATAGTCAGAAAACTCAAGGGTAGCTATGGTTACCTTCTTTCGATCGGAGTAGTCATGACACTCAAACGGATACTCCATCTTCCGTTCCCACTCTTGGCAAGCTTCTGGGTCACTCCTTCCTTGAAATGAAGGAACTTTCACCTTTAGCCCCGTCATATCATCATCTCTATGTCGGGGGAACTCTTCCTCTTCATACTATTCTTCATAGTCTCAAGGTTTTGGAGCTTTTCGAGCTTGAGGTGGAGCACGGTCCTCTGCCTCGGCCTCTTCCTCCTCTTCTTTGTAAGGCTTCAGCCTGAGGGTTCCTAAAGGCTCGATACTAACAATCATCACCTAGGACTCAGCCTTGCCTCCCATGTTGTGTTGGTAGTGCTTCTTTCTCGTGGTTGTTGTGGAGGTTAATGGCTTGCGCCATTTTGTCGAGGCGATTATGTAGCTGATCATGTGGAGCCTGCATCATACGTGTGAGATGATCAACTAGGAACTCCATCGTAGCTCGAGGAATGCCTTCCACATTTTGAATCTCCATGGCTTCCTCTTGGACCTCACTCGTGTTTCACTAAAAATATTTGGCCTCTAACCGATATTGAACTCACAAAGTCTCTTTCCACTCACACTCTTGAAACCCTAGATGAGCTTCCCAATCTGCATGTAGAACAAACAATAAAATAGTAGCTTGAGCCTCAAGAAATTCAAGAAATGACTTTCTATCAAGCAACCCTAGTAACAAATGAACAATATCCTCAAGAAACCAACTAACGCAACCAAGACTCGACCAATAACTCACAACAATCGATCAAGAAACAAACTTGGGTGATTTAGACTTTGTTCTTGTCTTTTGCGAGCTATTGTTTTTTAATCTTTTGTGCTCGTTTTTCTGTTCTTTTCTTTTTTATATTTTCTAGAATGACTTCTCGAACAAATGCACTTACAATCAAGAATGAACTGAAACAAATCAAGAACGAAAATAAAAACCTTATTGGCGACGTTTAAGAACACAAAACCTATTTGGTTGATTTTCGCACAAGATAGGAGGATACGTATGCCACTGTGTTTGAACTGGAGCTCTAATACCACCTGATATTAGTCGAGGCTCCTACTCATGGACTTCAGCAATCATAAACACATCAAAGATCGACTAGTAACACAACGAACACAAAGATGGGAAACAACTCAAACCTAAACCACCGTTGTGAATAGGGTCAAGTATACGAAGTGACACCACAATTAGGGTGATTGACTAGTTGATAATGTCGTGTTCTCCTTGCTGGCTCAATTCCACGAATGGACAAGAAAGAAAACAAGAGTTCGATGTTGAACAATAAAAACCTAGGAGTTTCGATTGATAATAACTTGTCCGGCCCGTAGGAAAATCCTCCTCTATTTATAGAGAATACAAAATAATATTTCTACCCTTAATGAACTAAAAATCTGACTCTAGTAGCTATATAATCCAAAACCCAAAAGGAAAAGGAAATACATCAAGAATCCGCCTAAAAGGTTCCATTCACACATTGTGTTCACACCAAGGATGACTTAAACATCAAGTAAGCTCATTCTTTCCTTCTGCCAAGTTGGGCTCTTCTTCTAGGAGGTGGATGGTGGTGATCTCTTGGCCCACAAACAATTCACGCCCTAATGACGCGAAACTCTTATCCAATAAACTTGTAATTGTGCCTTGAATGTTTTGGTTTTACTTCGGGTGATTGTACCTTCACTTTGAACAGCTTCCCCTCGCACCAATGTTAGTGTTGTAATAGCTTTGGTGTTGATTCTCTCATTAGTCTTGATATTTATGATGTTGATTTTGGTTGTTATGAGCCCGACAGATCATAGGCTTTAAGACCAATAGTACCGATTGTGACCTACCATCTTTTGGCCATGATCTCGTATGTTTCTTCCACCAAAGATCATAGGAAATATGCGACCATGATCTCCAACTTTCTTGGCCGTGAACTTCAGGACACAATTCATCACCAAGTATCACGATCGTGATCTTCTAAAAGTTTTCTATTTGTCCTATAAACTTGCACCACAAATGCTTGAATCGTCCCCAACAATCCCTTTTCTTGCTAAGATTTGAAAATATGGGGAACAAATCATCCTAGCCTAGAATGAAGCAATTATGGACACAATTATAATAAAATAATCACGATAACACCTGAGAATGGGGTATGAAGATGCCTAATTTATGTGTTATTATCCTTTCTCATCCACCACCTCAGCCTCTACGTCTATCTGCACTCCTCAATCATGAGACAAATCGACGGATACAAACTTCGCTCGGCTCGTCACGATGCTGGCAGAGGTTTTCAAAGGCAAATTTGACTCCCCATGCTCCTCCTACGGTGACTCAGTGGAGTTCGGTTGAGTGATTGGGAGGCGGTGAGATCCGGAGACTCTGCGGAGAGATTGAGAGATCCGACGACTCTGGCGAGGACGCATGGTCGTTGTCGCTTCACAGAAGACGAGGACTTGCTGCCTGCGTCGGTGACGTTCGCATCCAGCTCATCTCCAATTGTGTCTATCATGTGCTGTAGGGTTTGGAGGAGTGGGTAGTTGAATCCCACGAATAGGAGATCCATTGCTTTTTTCACCTCTAAGATTGCTGCTAAGATTGTTGCTTGGGTCTGATCTAGAATTCCTTGATTCTGAGAAATGAATAGACATGGGAGTGGTTTATATAGGGATGAGAACAAGATGTTTGGGAAATCTTTGGGAATTTTTAGATTGAAAATTGGAAGGGCCCTCCTTGCAAATCTTTGTAAACCTTCAAACAGAGAGAGTTCGATTGGAGTTGGTGAGCATGAAGATGCTAGAAGAGAGGGAGAAGCAGAAGGGAAGGGCAGAGGATAAGGATGAAAGAGGTAGAAGGGTTTCTGTGAATTTGAGAATAAGGGGGTTTTCAATCTGGTCATACAGAGGAAGAAGATGAAGGGTTGGGTTGGCTAGGTTTGGGTATCTTATGTGGCGGGTTTAATGATGTGGCTGGTCGGGTTTTGAGTTTTTTCGGGTTTAAAATTGGGTGACTTGACACTTCTGTTAGCCACGTCAGCGAAAACTGACGTCGTTAACAGAGACTAACGGAAGTTAACGAAGAGTGACCAAACTTGGACGGTTTAAGTAATTTGAGTGACCACTAATTGAATTAAATATTTACAGTGACCAAACGTGAACGTTTTTAGTAATCTCGGTGACCAATCTTGTAATTTACCCATTATTAAAAATACAAATTTACATGATTTATCAACACTAAGACATAGTAAATTCTCTAATTGAGAAGAGATTACACATTACAATAGCTACTTCGGGAGGAAACCAAAAAAGGAGGTGAGGGCTTGGATGGATCAATCTAGAAATGAGTCAATTTGATCAATTGTCTCGTTTTATAAATGAGGCAATTAAAACGAGTCAATTCAAATTACCTGCCCCCCACCCCAGGTAATTGAAATTGACTCAAAACGGATCAATTCAAAATACCGCAGGCAGATTGATCCATCCAAATTTTTTTGCTGGCAAACGAGACAATTTGGTACAATTGTCTCAAAACGAGACAATTGTGTCAAATTGATCCGTAACAATTCCTCATCCAAACGACCCCTAAGGTTTGTTTGGTTGCTCTCATTGTTTAGTGAGATTTTTATAATGCTTGCATTCTTTTTTAATACATCGTTGTTTTTTGTATTTTATACTTACAGAATACATGTATTGTTTGCTTGATTCGACATAAATAATTATTTAATATGAATGATTGTACTATCCCAACTTCTAAATCATAGTGGTAGTATTGTTCAGTTGAGATTTTTATTTCTTTTTTATTTCAGTTTTATTAATGAAAAATGAATTTTTCATTAAAAATAAAGGAATATACCGTACACGTGACTTTCCTTCTTAATCATTAGTAATACAATTCAAAAGCCATTCTACTACGCTCTAACTATTAGCGTTACAAGGTACAATTGAACTTTCATCATAGTTATAGCTATGAAGTAACAAGTTTAGTTTGTACCATTAAGAAATTTGATATTATAAAAAAAAAAGAATTTGAAGCTTTATATCATTTACAAGTAATATAAAGGTACAAATACAATATGTACCGTAAAAGAAAGATTAAGTTTATGTTATGATATAAGTTTAGTTTGTACCATAATTTTTTTAACCAAAACATTAATAGTCTAAAACCTGAACCCGCCCAAGTATACACATGCATATGTATGTTGTCAAGAACTAATCATTATTTTTCTCTAACATATTTTATATTTATGATATAAATATAATATTTTCATGAAATTGTGTTGTTTTAATTAATTTTCTTCATTCTAGTGTCATACTTTTTCTCTTATTTAATGTGAGAATATGTGTTAACATATTGCTTGGAGTTATAAAGAGACATTAAATTGTTACCCATGGATAACCGTAGATATCCGAAACCCGAACGGGTATGAGTATGGTTCTGATTTTCTACTCGTTTCTTATGTGAGTATGAGTATGAGTAAAACTCAAACTATTTTGGATAGGATAACAAATATACACTCTCCACTCCCTACCCGTCCCGTTGCCAATAAATATGCACTATCCACTACCGTCCCGTAAATAAACGGAGGCAATGATATGAACAATTTTGCTCGTATGTTTCGCTTTTTTTTATATTTTGGGAAGTTTTTTTTTTTTTCGTTCGTTGGTACTAATATATTTTTTTCGTTGGGGTAATCAATGAATCACGAAAACTGAAAAGCCTCGTCCACCTTCTGTTGGTTTGCGTCTCCCCCTTCTCGTTTCATATTTTCATCATTGTTTCTCTCTCATTCCCTCTCTCTCTCTCTCCCTCTCCCCTCTCTCAAATCGAAAATTATTCTTTTATTCAATTTGTTTTAATACAATAAGCAAAACCCCAAGACGGAGAAAAAGTTTCTGTATTTGCCTGCTGCCTATTGATTCCCAGTTCCAGTTTTAGTATCATTTTGTCATATCATCTCCCCCCCTCCCCCACCAAAAAAAATAAAAATAAAACTACAACTTCTTCCCTTCCCTTCCCTTCCCTTCCCTTTTCCCTTTCTCCAATCCTCTCCTTCTTCTGCCGATACTTTTTCCAGTGGAATAGAAATGTGGGACTTGAACGACTCCCCAGCTCAGAGAAGAGCCGCGGTGCCGGCGGATGAGTTCTCGGAGGAAGGGTGCTCCAATAATTCCCAAACCGACAAGGGGAAAAGGGTCGGATCCGTCTCCAATTCCAGCTCCTCCCCGGCCCAGCCCATGGAAGACGGATCCGAAGAAGAAGCCGCCGCCGGCGGAGGGAGAATGATGACGCCCAGAAGCCGGCCGCGGAGCCTGAGGAGCAGGATATTCGGCTTCTCCGTGGCGGCCGCCGAGGAGGAAGAAGAAGAAGAAGAGGATTCGGAGATGGTGAGCAGCAAAGGGGGCCCAGTGACCCGGCAGTTCTTCCCGATGGAGGATACAGAAATGGTGGGCCCATCATCGGCCGAAGGAGGAGGAAGCATCGCCGGAATCGGAGCTGGTGGGTTCCCCCGGGCCCACTGGGTGGGAGTGAAGTTCTGCCAATCGGAATCGTCGGCGACGGCGGCGGCGGCGGTGGGGGAGGTGGCGGGGGCGCAGCCGATGAAGAAGAGCAGGCGGGGCCCACGGTCGAGGAGCTCGCAGTACCGAGGAGTCACCTACTACCGGAGAACCGGCCGCTGGGAATCCCACATATGGTTCGTTCCCCCATACCAGAAAAAATTTAAATAAAGAAAAAAAAAATCCCGTCTCACATTTCTGTTTTCTCTTTTTTTTTTTTCTTCTTCTTCTTCTTTGCCGGAATTTCTTTTACTGTGGGTAAATAATAGATTAAACCTTCCTCTTTCTTCCCTCCCCTCTCTTTCTCATTGCGCAGGGATTGCGGGAAGCAAGTCTACCTGGGTAAGCTTTTTTTCTTTTTTCGCGTATGGTTGAAATCTGGAAGGGGAATTGTGAGAAAGAAAATGGGTTGGTTTTTTTTTTTTTTGAGTTTTTTGACTGATGAACAAGCCGGTGTGTGTGTGTGTTTGTAGGAGGATTTGACACAGCACATGCAGCTGCTCGGTGAGTAGTTCTCTCTCTCTTTTTTCTTTCGCCTTTCCTATTTCTCTCTCTCTCTCTCTAGTCTCTAGTTCAGAGTGGTCGCCTTGTCGGCATACCTTCTAACATTCTTCTTCATATATATAAAATCTGATCATCCACTACTTCTACGACTAGCTGATGAGCTCATGAATACAATCCTTCAATGATTCGATGGGTTTGTTTGTTTGTGTGTGTGTGTGTCTGTGTGTTGCAGTGCATATGATAGAGCAGCGATCAAGTTCAGAGGGGTGGAGGCCGATATTAACTTCAGCATTGAAGATTATGAAGACGACCTCAAACAGGTATGGGCAGGCATAACAGCCACAGCTAACTTGTCTATAGGTAGTAGAACAAAAAAGAGGGTGAGAGAGAGAGAGGGGGGATACTGTTGCTCTTGGCTTGAGAATGTTTTCAGTTTCAGTCTCTTCTGTGTTCTTATTTTTTTTTATATATTTTTGGCTGTTTTTCTTGGTGCAAATTTTCTTCCCTTATTTAGAGGGGTTGGCCCTTATCATCAACAGTGTCACACCTTATCATCAACAGTTGCTCCCACCATCCACCTCTTTCCTTTCCTTCTTTCTCCTTCTTCTTCTCGGAACATGTATGTATGTATATATAATATATATATATACAAGGCTGACGATGCTCTCTCTTTGATGACAACAGATGAGCAATTTGACGAAGGAGGAGTTTGTGCATGTACTAAGGCGACAGAGCACTGGTTTCCCAAGGGGGAGTTCCAAATATAGAGGAGTCACTTTGCACAAGTGTGGCCGCTGGGAAGCCCGGATGGGCCAATTCCTCGGCAAAAAGTACCCCCATTCCTCTCTCTCTCTTTTCTTTCTTTTTTTCACTTCCATTATTACTTACTCAGACGACTTTGCTTTGCTTTTGATGCCCCACACAGGTATGTTTACTTGGGTTTGTTTGATACTGAGGTTGAAGCTGCCAGGTAATTTATGTAAAACGTTATCGTTGTTTTCGGGTACTGGATGGTAATTCTCCCCTTCAGGATTTTCCATCCTTCTTCTCCTTGTGTTTTCTTTCAATAGGGCTTACGATAAAGCAGCAATTAAGTGCAATGGCAAGGATGCGGTGACCAACTTTGATCCAAGCATTTATGAAGACGAGCTCAACACAACCTCCACCACCAATAATAACAACAACAACAACAACAACAACAGCAACTCCCCTTCTGGTGCCATTTCCCCGTCTCCTTATCTTCCAATCACGTCTCCCATAATTTTATTGAATCGTAATTAGTTAAGTTACGTTACATTTAGCCACAGTAATTATTGATCGATCTCTAATTTGCATCGACCCACAGGTAGCATGAGCGCTGCTGCTGATCACAACCTTGATCTGAGTTTAGGGAACAACTCCTCCAAGGAATTCAATAATCTCGATCACCAAACACGGCCTCATCATGGTTCTGCTGGAATGGATGCCAATGCCGGATTCGATCCCAGCTGGCGAAATCCCGGATTAAGGCCTCAGGTGTTTTTTTTGGAAAAAACTGATTTATCATATTATTAGTTGTTTAGGAAATGCTAGCT